ATAGAGGGGAAGTATCACCTCCTTGGTTCTGTTTGTCATAATGTTATGCCATAGCTGAAATGCTCAGTGGGGTAAAAAAAATCAGCATCTTCTTAAAATGCTGTGTGCATATTTAAATTGGGATTGTTGCTGATTTTGTGCTTTAACTTTTTATTGCTGAAAACTGAAAATAAATCTGAACTTCAGTATTTTGATTGCCCATGAAAATCCATAGATTTAAAATCAAAACTGTATTTTCCTCATTTTTCTGGCTGAAAGCTTTTTTTTAAAAGTATTTAAAATGAAAAATTATGCCCATTCTATCTTTTGTGGGGAGGACAGAATCTGTGATTGCTTTTATAGTTGATAAACACTCTCCCTTACCCCAACAACCCGAGGAAGCTATACAAGTAGATCTGATTTAGAGTCTTCCTTGGCAAATAACCATATTTCTCTCATTCCCCCACTTTAAAATTACTATCTAATAAATTCAGAGATTCCTCAGTCTTCCTCCTCAGTCATCAGAAACTGGTGCAGGTGAAGAGAAATGCACTGACATCATTCTGGTAGGTTTATTTTCAGTTGTTGAAAGAAAAGTTACTGTGTTGGCATAGTTGGGTGTTTGGAGGAAGGAGCATTCAAGCTGATCTCTTGGTTTCTGCATGACCATGGTTGAAATTTGTTTTTTCCCAGACTATACCCTTGCCATGCAAGTGCCCTGAATAACCTTGGGACATTGACCAAAGACCTGGTGGAGGCCAAGGAATATTACAGAAGGGCTCTTAAGTTAAACCCACAACATAATCGAGCTCTCTTCAATCTTGGAAACCTGATCAAGTAAGTTTAACATTGAAGTCAAATGGCTTTGAGAAAATGAATTTTCCTTTGCTTCACCTACTAAACAATTACAGTAGCAAATTGCCTGCCTAATGGTAACAAGAGAGTGGTGTTAAGTTCTTGCTAGTAGGCAAGATTTGTTCAGGGTGTATGTGGCTCCTATATGCTATTTTTATTTTATGCTAGAGATGAATGTTTCTTTCTACAAGCAAAACCAGCTTTATGAGACTTGCCAGGATCAGGAATGAAGAAAGAGTTGGTAATACTAGGCCACATCCTCAGTCCTTCTAAGGCAGCTTTGCACACAGGGGCTGAGAAGCCAAGGTATCCTTTTATGGAAAAACTTCATTTGTTCATGTCACAGAGCCACAGCAAGGGCCTTATGTGCCTTCCAGCCACCACCTACCTGTCTCTGTGGTCAGCAGAAGGGATACTTCTGGTGAAAAGAGACTTGGTTGAGACCTCCAGACAGCCCTGTGACCCTTGGTTGTTGGACCAGCTCATTTCGGGTACTGGCAATCAGTTCAACTTAAGAACACCCTATGCCTGCTCTAAATTGGGAACTGGTGGGGCTCCAAATTGAGAGAGCAAAGTTGGCTTGCTTCTCTGCCACTGATTTTTGTATACCAAGCAGTGAAGTCATGAGATTTTATGATGGGTGAAGGCAGGAGCAGCATTAACCCTTTGGCTGTTGGCTGCAGTGGCACAGCAGCTCTGAGAGATGTGGCAAGAAGCCCCATGGCCTGGATCTGGAGGTGAGAGTCATCTGGCCAGGCAAGTATGAGCTGGATAACCACCTGCATGGGCAAGATGCAGCTGATAGCCTCCATTAGATTACAGGCTGAAAAGAAAGGGAATCAGAGTCCTGCAAATTAATTTGGCCAACCTTTTTTGAAGCCTTTTAAACCATCTACACCTGAAACTTTTGCCAGCATAATAATGTGACTTTTTTTTTTTTAATAATGATATGAGCCAGAAACAGCATCAAGATTTCCATGGTTGTTCAGGACCTAAATCTTACATATTGTTAGTTTGGTACCATCCAACAGTCTCTGAGATGGAAGACTGCTTTGGCCAATGTGCTAAGAAAGCAGGTGGGAAGTTTTTTTAAGCCAGTAGTTTAGCTTGTGGGATGCATGTCACCTTTTAACCAAGGTAACATTATGTGCATCCCGTTAAATTGATTGTTTTATTCCATCATTCTTTGCAATGCCACACAACACTATGTCAAAGGAGCAGAACACAGTATGTCAGCTAAAACTTATAAAATAATGCATTCATCTAGAGGCAATCCATGATGAGTTAGGCTCCACTTATAGTGGGGCAACAGCATGCACATATACAGTTGCTGCAGAGCAGCTGACATGAAGTAAATCCCTGCCCCCTTTTATCTTGCAGCCACTTGCTTGTGTGCCACACATCACCACCTCATTTTCTAAAATTCCTCAAGGCAGAGACATTAAAAGCAACCTAGTGGATTCAGACACACAAGTTCCATCCACTGTAATGGAAACTGGGTGTAGGGAGGGAAAGGGACAGGGTCTGTGGGCCTGTTGGCCTAATCTGACCCATGGACCAGTGCCACGTCACTCATCCAGCCTATAGGACTAGAAGAGTTTGACACCCTGCTCTACATAAATGTTTTTCCTGGTGTTTTAGCATTGTTTTTCAAACCTGCTTGTTGCTGCCCTTGATGTTCCATTGGGAGGCTTCTCAGAGATCATCAGCTGAGCCACATTACAAAGTTGTTTAGTAAGATATGCAAATGGTGACCGGGAGGAGTTTCCAAACTCACCTTTCTTTTGCTTTTGCACCCAGTCGCCACACGGTCCTTTCAGTCAAAATCACATTTAGAATTCACTGTTAAACTGTATTCTACCTCATGGTTTCCATTACAAATTATCACTTTATAGAAATCAACCCCACATTTTCAGGTTCAGTTTTAGGAAAAGCAGCTTTTCCCCCAATTATAAGTTGATAGCTAAAGACCTTGAATGGCAATTGACTGTACAAAATCCCTTAGGAGAATCAGATAACAAAGGACAGGACTCAAAATGTTAAATGCATTAAAAATACTAAAATGAAACCTACAATAAAACAAATTTTGAGTTAGTATTTTTACTGCATGTGCAAAAGTCCTGGAAGTACAGAAGTCAAGTCTGTAGGGGCCCCAATTTATAGACCAACCCCATGTTTAAGTAAAGTGTGATCTTTATGGTTTATTTGGAGGTGGAAAAAAGGATAAACTTATGATCAGAACAAGACAGTATTTGGAACAGGGACTGGTTTTGACTGTGTATATGGCAACTAACATGATGGATCTTTTAGATGCTAATGTAAGATAAAAAAGCTGAAAGTATGCAGAGTAATGTAGGTAAATATTACTTTTTTACTAAATTAAAACAATTTGAAAAGTGTTTTGAGTGAGTCAAATTCATGTCTGGGTTATTCAGTTGACTGCAGCAGAGTTACAATGCACTCAAGTGAGCATGTTGTTGATATGTACTGAATGCCTAAGGAACTTAATTTAATAAAATATGAGAGTGAGTAGAATGAGAGAAAGTTGTAACCCAACAAATCAGTAACTAGAATTAGGTTTTAGAAAGGGCAGTGCAAAATTTTTTTCACTGAAAATCATACTTTCAATAAAAAATCGAAGGTTTTGAGTAGCCCAAATGATAGGTCATTTTAACAATTGGTTCCAAATTAAATATGATTCAGACCTTCTTTAACATGTTCTTTGGACAGTGACTTAAATATTGTCTCTGGCTTATCCATGGGAATCAACTGCTCTTTAGACTGAAAGAGGTCTCAGCTCATTCTAGCAAGATGTGCTAGAACTGTATTTAAGAAAGGGGAGATGATGTATAGGAAAGATTTCCATCCAGTAACCCCCTACAAGGGAAGCAAATGAGGGCATTGGTAAAGGATATAATGGTAGCAGGCCATATTCATTCCAGTTAATTACAGTCCTGGGTGAGTTCCTCAAGGATTGCTCTGGGGACTGGTATAGATTAATATTTTCAGTAATGACCCAGACACAAGAAGTGGAAGCGTACTGATGAAATGTGATGAAGGTGGGTAGGAGGTATTGTCAATACAGAGGACTGGGATATGGCACACAACAACTGGATCTTGAAGACTGGCATAGCGAAAAGAGGTTGTGATGAAATACATGCAAAAGGCAGGGTAGAAGTGCACCTTATAGATTAACTAAATCAGTCTGTTGTAAGCAGCAGTTTGTGTCATCAGATTCTGTGAAGGGTCACTTGGAGGCTAATTAACAAAGACTTCTCTTGTTAGCCAGTCTCTATCAGCTGGAAAAAAGATTGGAGGAGAAGGACTGGTGCCTATCAGCTGCACACAGGGGCATCAATGAGCTGCAAGTGTAGAAAGTAGTAATGCTGTTTTATAAGGTCCTGGTGAGACATCACTTGGAAGAAGGTGTACAGTTCTGGTTGAGAACTGTACACCTATGTTCAAGAAAGAAAGACAAAATCAAAGTGCAGTAGGGTCAAAGAAGGGGCTACTAAGATGACTGGGGAAATGGAAAGCCTATCTTATGTGAGGAGACTAGAAGAGCTTGGCTTATTTAACCTAGCAGAGAGCAGGCTGAGAAGGGATGTGATTGTTCTCTAAAACACCTTGGAAAGGTTAATAACCAGGATGATAGAGGAGCTAGTTAAACTAAAGGACAGTGTTGGTAGACAAAACAAATGAGTATAAACTATCATGGAAGAAATTCAGGCATAAAAATTAGAAGAATGTTCCTAACCATTACAGCAGTGAGGTTCTGGAATGACCTTACTATTTGATTATCAGTGCCAGAAAAACATTAAAAAAATTTAAAAGGGAACTTGCTAAGTTTTTAAAAGGGATTATGTACTAAGTTGCCTTCCATAGCGAGGTTCCAGACTCAGGAACCTAGGAGCTCCTTTCTAGTCCTGTGTTCCTAACTAATCATTACTGGAGTCAAAATGAAATAAAGTTATTGACATGAACATGAAGACACACTACCAGATATTTTGTATCCTGTTAGCTGGTGTAGACATTTAAACTTGTGCAAAGTGGGAATAAAGCTCTTCTTCTGAAGTGAGTGAAAAACATGACTGGATAGCAAATGACAAAACAGGTTACAAAGCAATATAAGTCAGACCTGCAATACTTACATCCTGTCCATAAATAGGATTACCTACACAAAGGTGCATGATAAATTGGTTCTCTGTGGAATATTCAGAACTGCCTAAATTGAAGCAAACTTGTTTTGGGGAAAGTTGGTTGTGCTTGTCATTAAATTTAACTCACGCTGGAATTTTGAGAAAAGAAAACTCAAGCATTTTGGAGGGAAAGAGTTGCTGTTGACATGGGAATCTGCCACCCAGTACTCTTGGAAATAATCTGTCTGTCCAAACAGCTGTTGGTAGTGATCTGAGCTTGAGCAAATTTATTTTGGAATCTTTGAGTTTTCATAGAAGTACTGTATTTTTTTTTTAATCTTGCCATTTTCCATTTTGGCCACAGTACAGACAAGTATTTCCCAGAAGATAAATCTTTCCCAGGAAGCACTGCATGATGATGTTTTAATGAACCGCTGGCTTTGTTTACTCACTCAAAAAGAAACAAGTGTGTCGTCATTTTCTTGCTGGATATAAATATCAAGCAGGGTATTGCTAAACAATACAAACTGCTTTCTCCATGAAAAAGCAATAGCCAATGCTTTCACCTACAATGAAAAAATCACTTCCTCCCCTTTTTTGGAGCCCATATCATTGTGTTTCTCCCTTTGGCTTAATGTTTGTCCAAGTTTTTCAGTATAGAAATATTTAATTCTTGACTATGGATTCAATTCTGATGAGACTTAACTTGAAAATTGAGATAAATTTGAATTATTCAGAACACTTCATACAGATTTATTGCCTTGGGGACATTCAGTAAAAGTGGTAGTGGTGGTGGTGGTGGGGAATATTATAAACATTTGAGGTACATATTTAGGAGAGGAA